GGCACTTTGGAGAGGGGCTGCAGCACCAGGTCCACGTGAAGGGGCTTCGCTGGGAGCTTCTTGAGGCGCCGACCTGGAGGGGTCGAGGGGTTCAGGGAACCTCAAAATCCTCAGGAATTAAAAATTTGAGGGGAAAAAACCTCACCTTTGGGGGCACTTCCTTTATCCACGAAGAAAAGCCCCTCGTCCGGCTGCTCTGCGATCAGGCCCCTAAAAGAGACCCCCCCCCTCAAAATTAGAGATCTCCAAATCTCAAAGATCACCCCATCTTAAAATTAAATTTTTTCCCAAAACGTCAAAATGCCCAGGATCTCCCTCAAAGGCTCCTCAGCTACAGATCGCATAGAATTAGGAGCTCCCAGGCAAAATTTGGGACCCCGGAGAAGTTATCGGCCATCACCCAAATTTATGATACCTCAAAAATAAGGGAGAAGCTCCAAATCCCTCTGAGCCCTCCCAAATCCCTCAAGAGGCTTTGGGACCCATCAAAATCCCTCACAACCCCCCAGAGCTCTCTCTGAACCCCCTAAAATCCAACCAAACCCCCCCAACGCCCCTCAAGCCCCCTCCTCACCCCGCCGCTCGCTCCTGCAGCCCCACATCCTCCAGGAAATCGCCGATTTCGCGKCCCAGCTGCGCCTCGGGGCCGCTCCAGCGCTTCCAGCCCTTTTTGCGGTTGCGGGGCCCGCGGGCGCGGCGCCGGGAGGCGGCGGCGGGGCCGGGCCGGGCCGCGGGGTTGAAAGGRAGGAACGATTCGGCCGCCGCCATTTCGTGAGGGCTCCGCGTGAGGGAGGCGGAAGTGGCCTGAGGCAACTTCCGGTGGCCGAGGCGGAAAAAGGGCGGGAACATGTGGGCGGCGCCATCTTGGGAAGGRAATGACTGTGTAGCGCCGCCATATTGAGAGGGTCGGGTACAGCGTTGTCACCATCTTGGGAAGGACCGGAAGCGACGCTGCCGCCATATTGAGGGTACCGGAAATGGTTGGTCGCCATATTGAGAGGACCGGAAAAGGCGCGGCTCAGTCTGGGCGCCATCTTGGTGAGGTCGCTCTCCCTCTGTAGGGCCCAGCTGTGCCCTAAAATCCCCCAAAATGCGCCTCAAAACCCCTAAAAAGTGCCCCCCGCACCCCAAAAACTCAGAACAGCCCTTTCAGCTTCACTCTGCCTTTATTGGGGTTCCCTGGTTTTGAGGGACAGGGTGGTCCCTGGTCCTGGAGGGATTTTGGGGGATTTTCGGACATTTTGGGGCAGATTTGGGGGTCGCTCCTTTGATCCTTTATCCCTCCTCTTGTGGGGGTGGGAGAACCCTGGAAATCCCTCATTTTGGGGTGTTCTGGTTGGTTTTTTGGGGTGATTTTGGGAGCTGTCGGGCGTTGTTCTTTTGGGGAGATTTTGGGTTTTTTTGGCATCACTCGGCAGATCCTTTGAGCCTCCTCTTGGAGGGCGGCACCAGGCAGGGCGGCATCTGTGAATCCCTGACTTTGGGGTGACTTTGGGGGTTTTTGGGGTAGATTTTCGAGGTTTTTGGGGCAGATTTTGGGATTTTTGGGGTCACTCAGCAGACCCCTTATGCCTCCTCTTGTAATATATGGGCGTCTGTGAATCCCTGACTTTGGGGTGAATTTGGGGTAGATTTTTGAGATTTTTGAGGTGAATTTTGTGTTTTTTGGGGTCACTCAGCCGACCCCTTATGCCTCCTCTTTGACGGCGGCACCAGGCGCGGGGGCGTCTGTGAATCTCTGACTTTGGGGTGGATTTTGGGGTAGATTTTTGAGGATCCCTGACTTTGGGGTGGATTTTGGGGTAGATTTTTGAGGATCCCTGACTTTGGGGTGGATTTTCGAGGGTTTTGGGGTAGATTTTTGGGGTCACTCCGCCGATCCCTTATGCCTCCTCTTAGAGGGCGGCACCAGACGTGGTGGCATCTGTGAATCCCTGATTTTGGGGTGAATTTGGGGGTTTTTGGGATGGATTTGGGGTTTTTTGGGATGGATTTTTGAGGTCACTCTGCCGACCCCTTATGCCTCCTCTTAGAAGGCGGCACCAGACGCGGGGGCAGGTCAGTGGGCAGCCCCCTCCCCTCCAGCTTGGCCCCGATCAGGTGTCCGGCCAGCGCGAACTCCTCGTGGTCCAACATCCCGTCCCTGTCCACGTCGCTGAGCTGCCAAATGCGGCCGAGCACGGAGCTGGGCAGTTTGCTGGCCACCATCCAGCCCCGCGCCCGCCGGCCGCTCAGCTTGCCCCCGCTGGGCGCCAGCCCGTAGAAAATCTCGTCGTATTTGGCTTTGTCCTTCAGCACCACCCACTCGTCGCTGTCACCATCATCATCATCATCGTCATCGGAGATGTCACCGAAGGGTCCCATCCGGGCGCCGTCGAAGGCTCCTCCGCGCACGCAGGGCTGGCCCGGGGGCTCGGTGGCCGCGGTGGCCGCCAGCAGAGGGGTCAGCGCGGGGATGTCGCGGCTCAGCAGCTCGTCCAGCCCGGCCAGGAGACGGCGTTTGAGAGGGGGGAGGCGGGAGAGGTCGCGGGAGAGGAGCTGTTCCTGCGGGACGGGGTGGAAAAGGGGGAAAAGTGTATGGGAAGTGTAAAGGATTGCATGGAAAACCATCAGATCCCAGGGGAACCCATTGGAGCCTACAGGAAACCCAAAAGGTTCCATAAAAACCCATCAGATCCCACAGGAAACTGAAAAGATCCCATTAAAAACCCATCAGATCCCACAGGAAACTGAAAAGATCCCATTAAAAACCTATCAGATCCCACAGGAACTCATCAGAGCATATGGGAAACCCAAAAAGTTCCATAAAAACCCATCGGATCCACCAGGAACTCATCAGATCCTATGGGAAACCCAAAGGATTCCATAAAAAAAACATCAGATCCCACAAGAACTCATCGGATCCTACAGAACTCATCAGATCCTATGGGAAACCCAAGGATTCCACAGAAAACCCAAAAGATCCCACAGGAAACTGAAAAGATCCCATTAAAACCTATCAGATCCCACAGGAACTCATTGGATCCTACGGGAAAACCAAATGATCCCATAAAAACCTATCAGATCCCACAGGAAACTGAAAACATCCCATTAAAACCTATTGGATCCCACGGGAAAACCAAATGATCCCATAAAAACCTATCAGATCTCACAGGAATCACAAAAGATCCCACAGGAACCCCAAAATACCCTGATGCCATACCTGTAGCCGTGCACAATCCGGGATATCCCCGGCGGGGATCTGGTGCTCGCTCTGGATCCGCGCCAGCAGCGCCGGCAGCCCCAATCCCAATATCCCAATATCCCAATGCTGATATCCCAATATCCCAATCCCAATATTGATATCCCAATATCCCAATCCCAATCCCAATCCCATACCTGTAACCTCGCACAATCCGGGATATCCCCGGCGGGGATCTGGTGCTCGCTCTGGATCCGCGCCAGCAGCGCCGGCAGCCCCGATATCCCAATATCCCAATGTTGATATCCCAATCCCCAATATCCCAATATCCCAATATTGATATCCCAATATCCCAATATCCCAATATCCCAATACCCCGATCGATCCCATACCTGTAACCGTGCACAATCCAGGATCTCCCCGACAGGAATTTGGTGCTCGCTCTGGATCCGCGCCAGCAGCGCCGGCAGCCCCAATCCCCGATATCCCAATATCCCAATATCCCAATATCCCGATATCCCAATATCCCAATATCCCAATGTTGATATCCCAATCCCCCAATCCCAATATCCCAATCCCATACCTGTAACCTCGCACAATCCGGGATATCCGCAGCAGGGATCTGGTGCTCGCTCTGGATCCGCGCCAGCAGCGCCGGCAGCCCCAATATCCCAATATCCCAATATCCCAATATCCCAATGTTGATATCCCAATCCCCCAATCCCAATATCCTGATTGATCCCATACCTGTAACCGTGCACAATCCGGGATATCCCCGGCTGGGATCTGGTGCTCGCTCTGGATCCGCGCCAGCAGCGCCGGCAGCCCCGATATCCCAATATCCCAATATCCCAATATCCCAATGCTGATATCCCAATATCCTGATCCCAATCCCAATCCCATACCTGTAACCGCGCACAATCCGGGATATCTCCAGCTGGGATTTGGTGCTCGCTCTGGATCCGCGCCAGCAGCGCCGGCAGCCCCGATATTCCAATATCCCAATACCCCAATCCCAATGTTGATATCCCAATATCCCAATCCCCAATATCCCAATATCCCAATGTTGATACCCCAATCCCATACCTGTAACCGTGCACAATCCGGGATATCTCCAGCTGGGATCTGGTGCTCGCTCTGGATCCGCGCCAGCAGCGCCGGCAGCCCCGATGTCCCAATATCCCAATATCCCAATGCTGATATCCCAATATCCCAATCCCAATATCCCAATCCCCCAATCCCAATCCCAATCCCATGCCTGTAACCTCGCACAATCCGGGATATCCCCAGCTGGGATTTGGTGCTCGCTCTGGATCCGCGCCAGCAGCGCCGGCAGCCCCAATTCCCCATATCCCAATATCCCAATATCCCAATATCCCAATATCCTGATTGATCCCATACCTGCAGTCTCGCACAATCCGGGATATCCGCAGCAGGGATCTGGTGCTCGCTCTGGATCCGCGCCAGCAGCGCCGGCAGCCTCTGGATCAGCCGTTTCCTGCGGCCGCTGCCCCCCAACAGCGAGGGCAGCTCCTGCCGCAGCCGCGACAGCACCAGCGCGTGCACCTGACGGGATTTGGGGAATTTTTGGGGCATTTTGGGACATTTTGGGTCATTTTAATGNAGAGGGGTCAGCGCGGGGATGTCGCGGCTCAGCAGCTCGTCCAGCCCGGCCAGGAGACGGCGTTTGAGAGGGGGGAGGCGGGAGAGGTCGCGGGAGAGGAGCTGTTCCTGCGGGACGGGGTGGAAAAGGGGGAAAAGTGTATGGGAAGTGTAAAGGATTGCATGGAAAACCATCAGATCCCAGGGGAACCCATTGGAGCCTACAGGAAACCCAAAAGGTTCCATAAAAACCCATCAGATCCCACAGAAAACCCAAAAGATTGCATAAAAACCCATTGGGTCCCACAGAAACTCATCAGATCCCACAGGAATCCCAAAATCCCCCAATCCCATACCTGCAGTCTCGCACAATCCGGGATATCCCCGGCAGGGATCTGGTGCTCGCTCTGGATCCGCGCCAGCAGCGCCGGCAGCCCCAATCCCCCATATCCCAATATCCCAATATCCCAATATCCCAATATCCCAATATCCCAATATCCTGATCCCAATCCCAATGTTGATATCCCAATCCCATACCTGCAATCTCGCACAATCCGGGATATCCGCAGCAGGAATCTGGTGCTCGCTCTGGATCCGCGCCAGCAGCGCCGGCAGCCCCGATATCCCAATATCCCAATATTGATATCCTGATCCCAATATCCCGATATCCCAATATCCCAATGTTGATATCCCAATATCCCAATACCCCGATTGATCCCATACCTGTAACCTCGCACAATCCGGGATATCTGCAGCAGGGATCTGGTGCTCGCTCTGGATCCGCGCCAGCAGCGCCGGCAGCCCCAATATCCCAATATCCCAATATCCTAATGTTGATATCCCAATATCCCAATGTTGATATCCCAATATCCTGATTGATCCCATACCTGTAACCTTGCACAATCCGGGATATCCCCGGCAGGGATTTGGTGCTCGCTCTGGATCCGCGCCAGCAGCGCCGGCAGCCCCAATATCCCAATATCCCAATATCCCAATATCGATATCCCAATATCCCGATTGATCCCATACCTGTAGCCGTGCACAATCTGGGATACCTCCAGCAGAAATTTGGTGCTCGCTCTGGATCCGCGCCAGCAGCGCCGGCAGCCCCAATCCCAATATCCCAATATCCCAATGTTGATATCCCAATGTTGATATCCCAATATTGAAATCCCAATCCCAATATCCCATACCTGCAATCTCGCACAATCCGGGATATCCCCGGCAGGGATTTGGTGCTCGCTCTGGATCCGCGCCAGCAGCGCCGGCAGCCTCTGGATCAGCCGTTTCCTGCGGCCGCTGCCCCCCAACAGCGAGGGCAGCTCCTGCCGCAGCCGCGACAGCACCAGCGCGTGCACCTGACGGGATTT